GTTGGGATTTTATGATGAAATGTAGCATTAAATCGACTTTCACTATTTATCCATCTGAAATATGTACCTGTGTGCATTTAGTATGTCTTACGAGTGACACAGCAATCTGTTTTAATTGAATGAATCTGCAGTATTACACAGTATTCGCATCAACCAGGCTTGTTTTCCTGATGCGTTAGATGCACACCAGTATCAGCTAAAAAAAAGCAGCATTCATCAGTACACAGCTACAGTAAAAACATACCGCTGTGTTCGACGATTCATCGTGACACAACGATGTCAACCGGTTTAAAACCTGTTGCTGAGTGAGTGTATGCGTCCATCTAAATGTCCACAGATAAATGATTTTAGATCTAGATTGACTTTTCATCCCGACACTGAGAAGCTTGATGAATGCAGACCAAAAATAACAATAAAAAGCTCACCCTGCAATCTTTTCATTGCCCTATCCTACATGGCTGGTCAGTCTCCATCAAAAAGGGATCTGAGGCATTTTATAATCCTGTCTGCCTCCGCACAGGCTCAGCATGGGGTTGCAGGCCACAAAGGCTCTATTGATTGAGTACAGAATACTGTATTTTTGAGGTGTCGGTGCCAAAAGGCTTCAGTCCTGTGGTACCCTGCTGCTTGCTTTTGGACTAAAACAGTTTAAAAAAACCTTTTTGCTTTATATTTGGGTTTTTAGAATTAGAATCTCAGAGTTCTGCATGGTTTGCATCTAAAAGGTTGACATCTCTGATGTACAAGATTAAATACAAACTTGACAAAAAATGTGTAAGTTTAACTTCCATTTCACTTTTGCGTAGCTGCTGTTGAGGTAAAAAAAAAAAAAATCTTGACCATAATTGAGGTCTCAATATTATCAGTGGTTTTGTCACAGTGAACCGCTTGCAGCCAGAATGTAAATGACTGTTTTAGAAATGTTCCTCTATAAAGACAGTATCTGTCCGAGAGAGGGCTGTCAACTCTCCATTAATATAAGAAATTGTCTTATATTTGAAACTAAAGACATTTCTTATCTCTCCACGTAAATGTGCTGGAATTGATTACTGTGGGTAAAGTGATCAGACACATTGCCCCGCTGCTGTGGGATCATCACGTGATGGTACACATGGACAAAAGAACCACGGCAACTTGCATAAATCGCCAAGGGGGCGTTCATTCAGCTCAGCTACTGGACGTGGCCAGAGAGCTGCTCTGTTGGACGCACACATGTAGTGAACCTGATCTGACCCTGATCTGACCCTGATGACCTCAAATCTATCAGATGGACAGGGACTGTTATTTCATTGATCTGAATACAGTCTGAGCCATCTGATGACTTTCTTTCTTGATTTAATCAAGCAGAAAAGACAATTCTTTATAATCATCACTGTTTTACAAATGTTTGATAATCAAATTGTGTTAGTTCACTCAAAGTTACAGGTTGAAGAGAACTACTCATTTTTATTTTTACATAAACAGTAAGTAATGATTTTTATTCCTCATTCAAAGAAGAAATCAGGTTAATATGCATTTCTTGATTTTCTGTCTGAAATGAGCCAAGCAACGTAAGTATGTGAAAGTTGAAGCTTCGGTCAACTAAATGTTTACTGAAAAAGAAATGTCATGTTTAATCTTTACAGAAGATACAGAAGAGTTGACTCCACGAAGTCTGCTTTTCTGCAATAATCTCTCTGTCAGTTGTTAAACAAACTCATTCTCTGACCTCGACTTTTGATAACACCTTACGTCAAAAACCACACCTCTTTCTGGTCCATCCACGAATCAGAAAGCTCTAAATTGACCCGGAAGTCAACTCATTAAAAATGTGGCAACTTCCCGGTTCTGCCAGAGTCTGGGAAAGAATTCCAGAGAGTTCCAGAGGCTGAGGAGATGAAGAACTAGAGAGTTGCTGGAGTTGAAAGATTCTGTTAGAGTCTGAGAAGTTCTGAAGAATGAAAGGAGTTCAGAGTTCTTGGGTGCAAACGCGTTCAGGATGATCCAGAGACGTTTTGGGATTATAACTTCTGTTTGAACAAACCACGCACGACTCTCGAAGGATTTCAGCTGCTCTCAACGGAGACGCTGAAATAGTCGGAAGGATTCTATACCGAGCTGATCTACGTCGACCAGGTAACAGTTTCTTCTTCGACTAAAGTGTACCGGAGGCAAGCTGAGATCTGATGAAGCGTGCACGTTCTGGACAAACAGATTAATTCCCTCACATATCTCTCTGTAAGATAACTCCATTTCATCTTAAAACTCTCCTCTTTCTCATAAAATCAGTACAGATATTTTAGAAATATCTGAAGCAAAGTCCTCGTTCACCGCCGAGTGATCGATGTCCCTTTTCTGTGAAACTTGTCTGTTATTATTTTCATATTTTGCCAAATTAATGTAAATGTTTGATGTTAAACTTTGATTCTGAAAATAAATGACCGCATTCATTTTGATGGGTCAAAGATAAATAACGTCTCTCGTTACATTTCTGTTAAATTCAATGCACGACATTACACAGTCAGAAAGATGAGGAACTCGTGAATATATTGTATGCATATATATCTCATATATTGTCATACTACAACTAGTGGCACGTACCTACGTGACTACTACACACATATCAGAGTTGTTTACATCCCAGGCGTGCTAAACAGCGGAGCAGATAATATGTCCAGGGGCGGCCCCCGAGACAAGGATTGGAGCCTCGACCCAGACCTGATCCTTCAGATATTGAGCCGGTTCGGGAACGCAAACGTGGATCTGATGGCCACTTGAGAAAACACTCAGTGCAAACTGTTTTTCTCTCTGAAAACATGAGACATGCCACCACTGGGAGTGAACATGTTTGCACACAAACTATGGCCTCAGATGTTTTTCTATGTATTTCCTCTGATTCCACTATGGGACAGCTGCTGGAGCGGGTCCGGGAGGAACAGTGGAGGGTGATCCTGATCACTCCAGAATGCACGGGCGCTCTGTGGTTTCCAGTTCTCCAACAGCTGACGAGTGAACCATGGAAATTGCCATGGCAGGAGGATGCGATCTTACAAGCGGAGGGAACAATCAGGAGCCCCCTGGTGAAAGGTCAGCATCTCTGAGCCTGGCCGCTGAGCCGGAATGTTTAGAGGGATTGAGTTTCTCTCAGGACATGGTTTGCACGATCCAAGGTGCACACGCAGCTTCACCACGGCTTGCTATGCAGCCAAGTAGGCAGCTTTTCAGATATGGTGTTTAGAGAAGGAAGTGGATCTGAATTCTTGTTCTTTAAGTTGCGTATTATATTTTGTGCAGCTGCTGATGGACAGAAACCTGGCCTTAAGACGTAAGCTGCAGCCATTTTGTCCTGTAGTGAGGAGTTTAATGACAGAACGGTTTTTAATCACCCTCTGATGAAACAACTTTTGAGGGGTGTGCACAGACACATAACGATTTTACGCATGCTACTTCCACAATGGGATTTAGTGCTTGTACTTTGCGCACTGTCTAAATAACCATTTGAACCCCTGGATCAGGTATCACTGAAATTTCTCTCTTTCAAGACAGCCTTGCTGTTAGCTCTGACATCAGCAAAGAGAGAAAGCGACCTCCCAGCCCTGTTGGTCGCCCCTTCTGTCTTAGAATCCAAGGCGATGAGTGCTCAGCAGTGCTTTACCTGAATCCTGCCTTTATACCTAAAAGCATAAATAGTTCTTTCAGATCCAGAATCATAACGTTGGATGGTTTCTCCCTCCCTCCACATAATTCTGAAGACAAGGTTCTATCTCACCTCCTTCGTCCTGTTCGTGCGTTTGCATGTTACGTAAGACGCACAGCCTCTCTGCGTAAATCTGATCGGCTGTTCATTCATTTCAAAAACCAGTCACAAGGACAACCTTTATATCCTCAGTGGTTGTCTCACTGGCTATGCGAGGCTATTTTTTAGCCTATTCGGCGGCTGTTCTTCCTCTTCCTGATGGACACAGGGCTCATTCCACCAGAGGGATTTCAACCTCCACGGCGCTACATGGTGGTGTGTCTGTACAGGACATCTGTTCTGCGGCTTCCTGGTCGTCACTGACTTCACTCATCCCTTTCTACCTAGGTGATATTTCTAATTCATCTCTGACACCTTTGGTTCTCAGAGCCATGTCTGAGTGACATCACAGCCGTATTCACTCATTCCTCCTTCCCAATGTTGCTTGCTCTTTTCAAGCAGATGTCTTTTCCTGTATGAAATCCAAGCAAGGGATTTTTTTTTCTTGTACGGAAAATTTTTCCTTATATTTTCACTCTTGTACTAAAACGTGCGACTAAACTGAATAATCAATTCTCAGTTCGATATAAGGGATGCGTGTTTGTTTTGGTGCACATCAGGTGCTTGAATTAACAACATGTAATCACGCCATAGGGATCAGTAAGAATGTGTGTTTAAGCAGTTTTTGGTTATGTGCTCCTAGATTTGGATGGACCCAGTGAGGCATGGACTACATCCTGCTTTGCCTTTAACCCATAAGGGAGACTTAAAGGGCAAACCCAAATGAAATAGAACGTAGGTAACGTATTGTAACCACAGATTATATGAATGTGGGTGCAGCCCTTTAAGCTCTGAATCTCACTGGCTCCCAAATGGCTGAAGAAACTTTAGCTATTTGGGAGCAGAACTACCAACCCGTATGCTATTTATACGGTCTAGGGTGGAGCCCACACAGTGGGTGGACATGGACTAGAATTTTCTTCAGTGGTGGTGCACTGCTCGTGGGGTGAGACCCACAAGGGTGGCTTAAAGGGTTGCACCCACATTCATAGAATCTGTGGTTACAGTACGTAACCTATGTTTTCACTGATTCGTCCACAGCAGATGATTTGTGTACAGCACATATGAACAGTTTTTAAAGTGTATGCAACAAAGTAACAGTCACAGTACAACTGGATACATCTAACACAAAGGACTTGAACAATCTAACAACCTTAAAGAATAATTTAAAAAAGCACTAAAACAACTGAAGTCCAGTCAGAGTGTGTGTAATATTAATAGTGACCTGTTGGATGCGATTGATTCGCCTCTCGTCCGTCTCAGCGATGAATAACGTTCCCAGGTGGGACATGGCAATAGCTTTGGCAGCCTCCAGGGTGGCATGCACGGCTGCTCGGCTCACCAGGTGGTGGTCGATACCCGGGACCTGGCAGTGAATGGGCCTCCCCGCCACTATACGCACCTGAAGACTCTCTGACACCTAAAAACACACCCTGTGGTTTATCATCAATGTAAAACAAAAGCTGTATCTTTATATCAGCTTCATGGAATCAGCCATTTATTGGATGAATTGTAATTGATTCAGAGCGTCAAACATCCTCCGTCCTGCCTTGTATGCTGACTTTTATAAGATAAAAGCTCTCTCTATTAACTTTAGAGAAAGAGTTTAACAGCATTTTCTAAGAAAAAGCCCCCACAGAGACCCGTGACTGTGTGTCATTTTTGTTAACAGGCTACTTCTTTGCTTTTATTTATGTAAAAATCCTCTCTTAATCTAAATGGATTTTAAGTGACAGCTCTGGAATTTGTGTACAGTATATATTTTTACTTTGCACTGTTAAACTGTTTGTACAATGCCTCCAGGGAAAAAATGCACCTGAATAAATGAATCAAACATGCATTTTGTTTATTTTTGTACAGTTTCTTCACCTGTAAGACAATATTGTTGTCCAGGATGTATAGCGAGTTGTCCAGAGGGTTAATTGCAAGATCCGTTGGCCACTCCAATCGCACCTTTAGAATGACACAAAAAGATACAACCTTATTTTTTTTTTTAAAAGCTGCAAGAAAGCCTCACTGGTGACTGCCCACAAGAGTCAGTTACAGGTAGCACAAATAATATATCCTTAATAACATAGTATTAGGTCTCCTGACCCTCCCTGTTCATGCAAAGGTCAGCATTGGGCAGGGAGCCTTCCCCGTGTTTATTCAGGACTCACACCGGCTTGCTTGGGCTCCGTTCAAATGTCAACCAATAACCGTGATTGCTGCCTTCTCAAATAGCACATCATGTCTGCTAACACCGTGGGGGTCAACGCTGGACAAACCTACACCATCTCACAGCCACCCACATCCCCTGTCCATCACACACACACACAGACATTGAGCTGCTGTGTGAAGCTGAGGCGGTGCGTGCAGGGGGGATCAGGTGATTGATGACTCACAGGATGGATTGGTAAATAAATGGATCATGTTAAATTGCCACTGACATGTTCAATTATAGGCTCTGTCAAATGAGAGCAGGAGAAAGCGTTCGCTCTGAAATCTAATTTTAGGAGGTGGAGAGATTCATCAAATGGGATTCATTGTGTCCCTTGACCAAGAGGACAAGTGTCCGAATCTCTCCTGCTTATGATCACAGACCTAAGGTGTGAATACAAGTGGCCAGCTCTACAAGTATGACCCAGACACAAAGCGAAAACCCTACATGAAATGCTTAAATTAAAAACTATTTGTCCTTTCCAAACATTAAATAAATACAACACTTAAAGAAAATGCATTTCTTTAAGTGTTGCACATTTTCTGCCAGAGTTTTAAACTAAAATCTTCTTACGATGCAAAATCAGTTATAAACATTTTGGTGCAATTTTTGGTCTAATGTGATATTGCAAGATGTTGTGTCTCTTGCTAGCAGTCAGAGTATGTGATCTTCTTTCAGCTTTTCCCTCTTCAGGGGTCAACACAGAGAGTCATCCTCCTCAATCTCTGTCCTCTTCATCCTCTGTCCTCACTCTAACTACCTCCATGTCCTCTCTAACTGCATCCGTATGTCTCCTCTTTGTCTTTTTCCTGGCAGCTGCATTTCTAACATCCTATTACCAATATACCCACTGTCCCTCCTCTGGGCATGTCCAAACCATCAGTCTGGCCTCTCTAACTGAGAAGGTCTGGACATGTCCAGAGGAGGGACAGTCAGAGCATGTTATTAATCAGTATCACAATTTTAGCTCAATATTTGGAAAATTCTCTGAGTTATAGTCATTTTTGTTTTAGCTAAGGTTAATTAGCACTGGCAGCTATATTGCATTTGGGGAGTGGTGGCGCAGATGTTAGAAAAGGTGAGCCTGTGATAGGAAGGTTGCCAGTTCAACCTCCCAGACCGACAACATCAAAATGTGTTTGGGAAAATGAAGCACTCACACCTGCCTCCACCCTCATTTGCTCCACTCTGGGCCCTTGAGTAAGGCCCTTAACCTCCAACATTTGTTCCCCCGGGTGCCCTAGATAGCAGCTCTCCGCTCCGCACAGAGGGCTGTGGTAGCTCGGTGGTCTGTGGTTGTTTCAGGAAGGACATCCGGTGTAAAAATATTTGCCAAGTCTTTGTGCGACTTAGTCACTGATGAAGGGAGCAGCCGGAAAAACAAACGAATGAAACAACAGCTATACTGAACTGGGTTGTCTCTGGAAGGAAATCAGTTGTAGCTGTATTTTCACTGTTTCCTTTCTGAGTATTTCAATACACATTGTCAGGTGGTTGATGAGACATTTAGACAGATGGCGTAAACTCCAACAGATTGTTGGAAACATTTTAAACAGATCTGCACACTCTGTTATCTCTGAGTACGTGTTGTGAAAAACTCTCAGCTACCACCACACCAAAATTTCAGCTCAGTATCTATAAAACTGACTGAGTTATAAATATTTTTGTGTTTTCAAAGTCAGTTGGCTGTTGTGGCCATACTGATTTTGATTGACAGCCAATTTATTATTTTCAGAGTTGTTTTTTTTTTTTTTTTTTTCTGTGGTAAAATATATTCTGCTAACACAAAATACACAGACATAACATTTTATCTTTCCACAGTAGGTGATAACAAAGAATAATATTTTTTTAATGGTTCTTTATCTTTTTTTCCCTCCCATAAATACTTATTAATGTATTTGTGTCCTCAAGAAAGCCAGATTGTTTGGCTTTCTGACAATCAAGTACTGGCAACTTCAAAAGCTGAAACTTCTGTGTGGGCTGGTGCTAAGAATTCAGAGCTTTTTGAAAGCAAAAGCAACATTACTCTGCCTTTAAAATATGACCACAGAAACAGAGCCATGATTTAATTCGTACAGTATTTAACAGCAACAAAATAAACAACTGCTAAGTTCATGGCAACAATCACTGCAGACATGTTCCTGTTTTAGTATTTTATTTCACCTTATAATGTGGCTGTGTTTTTTATTTTTATCTTTTCTTCTATTTACTTTTCATTTTATATGTTTTTTATATGATTTGTCTATTGCTGTCTACCTCATCTGTGTTCTTTGTTAAAATCAGGTCTCTCTTGTAAATGAGTCCTCGAGGCTCAATGAGACTAACCTGTATAAATAAAGGTTGAATGAATAAATGAACAATTGTATATTAAAAATAGCAAAGGTATCAATCATTTTCTAAAACATCTTTTCCACTGGATGTTGACTTCACTACGACAAAAGATCATCCAGAAATGGATGTTTCTGTGAGGTTTTCAGTTCTGTATTAAAACACAGCAGGCTCCATGTTGTGCATGATAAGAGTGTGTGAGGTTAAGACTTTGCTCTCAACCTTTTTTTTTGTCAGGACCCCCTTTGGAGAAAGAAGAATTTTTTTTTTTTGCACCGTCCCAACTTCAGGCTGCAAAAACAACATTTTAACAATTTTCATTCAACCTTTATTTATACAGGTTAGTCTCATTGAGCCTTGAGGACTCATTTACAAGAGAGACAATGCTTCAGATATGCACGTGATCAATACGTGAACTGAAATATTTTAAATCTAATACCTTTGAGTGAACTAAAGTCATTTAAGGCAGAGGTCAGGCAAATAAAAATAGCAATTTTAATGCATTATGTGCTGATCAGCTAGCTGTTCACCGTGCAGAGCGGAGAAGTGGGCGTGGCCAGGAGCACTTGAAGGTGGCTGAGAGCAGTGGCGGCAGAGAGCTGAAATCGACATTCTGTGCTCTTTTAGAGCGTTTAGAAATATTGTTTAGTAGGGATGCACGATATTATCGGCATGGTATCGGCCGATATTAACATTAAATTTCAATATCGGGACATTGGCCATTCCATTAAAGTAACTTGCCAATATAAAAAGCGCTGTTTTTGCCTGCAGCGACAGCACAACGCGATGACGTAACGTGCGCCTACTCGAGCTCACAGCGGAGAGGAGAATTCAAAATGTCAGCGGTGTGAAAGTTTTATTTTTTGTTGGTGAGGATGTCAGATTCTGAAGATTTATGGACTACATTGAGCTTCTCTACATCGACCCCAGTCAAAGATATTTTTCCCATGTAACGTTACTCGAGTTACAAGCCTTCATTTCCAATGTCATTGAGAAGCTAATAGCCGATAGCACGACTTGTTGTGTGAGTTTTACCACAGACATTTGGACGTCACGTTAGCCCCGTTAACATGATTAGTGTTACGGCACAATGGATAGACAAAAACTTTTAACTTAAAAAGGCTGTCCTTCATGCACAGGAGTGCAGCAGAGGATCCCACACTGCAGCTAGGAACCTGGAACAAGCCTTCACAAGTGAGACAGCGTCGCAGGTGACTAATGCTAATACATTACATTTAACACTTTTCATTTACTATAAGTCAAAGTGCTATGCATATCATATGACTGTTACTGAATATACGTCACCAGCTCTTACAGCTGTTACACAATTTTTGTAGCAAATAAGCCTAAATAAGAGGGCTATGGTCTAACAAAGGAAAGTATATAAAATATCGGTATCAGCATCAGTTATCGGCCGAATAAGTTTTATCATATCGGCATATTGGATATTGGCCAAAAATCCAATATCGTGCATCCCTATTGTTTAGAATATTCCAAGAGTGTGGAAAGGATTTAAAACACACACACACACATACAGTATATATATATATATATATATA